CTTCGTTTGTGCTGAACAAATGGGATAACCATTGGGTGTATTGGTTTGGTCCGCTCGTCGGCGGCATGGCATCCGGCCTGGTGTATGAGCATATATTCAGCTCGCGACGCAGCGCGCGCCATGGCAAGGGCAGCGTTGACAACGACTCCAGCTCCATACACTCCGAGGATGAGCTGAACTACGACATGGACATGGAGAAGCCGAACAAGTATCAGCAGTCGCAGGGCACCTATCCGCGCGGCCAGACGAATGGGGCGGGGGCCACAGCTGCTCAGCATGCCGCTGCCACTTTGCCGCCCATGGGCGTGGTCGGCGCTGGAGCCGGCAACTACTGTCAGAATCTGTACACCGCACCGCCGCTCTCCTCGAAGTACGACCAGCAGCAGCAGGAGCCGCTCTACGGCGGCACTCGCTCGCTCTACTGCCGCTCGCCCACGTTGACGCGCAGCAACTTGAATCGCTCGCAGTCGGTGTACGCCAAGAGCAACACGGCCATCAATCGTGACATTGTGCCGCGTCCCGGACCACTGGTGCCAGCGCAGAGTCTCTATCCCATGCGCACGCAACAGCAACAGCAGCAGCAGCAGCAACATCACCAGCAGGCCGTCTCGGCAACCCAATCTTCGCATCTGCAGAATCAGAACGTGCAGAATCAGATGCAGCAGCGCACCGAGAGCATCTATGCCATGCGCGGCTCTATGCGCGGACAGCAGCAACCATTGCAGCAGCAGCAACAGCAACAGCAGCAGCAACAGGCGCCAGTGGGCATGCAGCAGCAATTGCAGCCACCGCAGCAGCACATGTCGGAGCCACAGGCGCAACCACAGGGCTTCCAGCCGGTCTACGGCTCACGCAACAATCCCACACCCCTGGACGGCAATCACAAGTTCGAACGTCGGGATCAACAGCAACAGCAGCAGCAGCAACAGCAACTCTATGGCATGACCGGTCCGCGCAATCGCGGCCAGTCGGCGCAATCCGATGACAGCTCGTATGGCTCGTATCATGGCTCGGCAGTCACGCCGCCAGCGCGTCATCCCAGCGTGGAGCCCTCGCCGCCGCCCCCGCCCATGCTGATGTACGCCCCACCGCCGCAGCCCAATGCAGCGCATCCACAGCCCATACGAACGCAGTCGGAGCGCAAGGTGAGCGCGCCCGTCGTTGTCTCCCAGTCGGCTGCCTGTGCTGTCACCTATACCACATCCCAGATGCCCCCAACGATCACGACAACAACAGCACAACAACAGCAACAACAGCAGCAGCAGCAACAGCAACAGCAACAGCAACAAATGATGATGCAACAGCAACAGCAGCAACAGCAACAGCAGCAGACACATCAGCAACATTATGGCATGTTGCCGTTGCGACCGAACTGAAAGCGGCTGTCGTGGGGCCCCGTTACGACGCCGCCGCCAACGATACACGCCGCCCTCGCAATTCATCCCACGGGCACCATGACCCTGCACAGCTGCAGCCTGGCCAAGCAGAGCAGCTTGTTTTAGCTCCCAGAGAAGAGTAAATCGGGCATCCAAAGGAAATGTACGCAAGGTCCTAGAATTTAATTAAAAAAGAAAATCATTTAAGTGCAGTTGAATTAGATATATATATATAGACCTGATGACAGACGAAACATAGCCACAATGTATTATTCACATACGACAAGTGAGAAGGAACTCATACCTAGCAGCAGCAGCTACATCGATTATCATAAGCAACATATATATAACTATATAGCCCATAATCCATCTAAAATATTACAATGCTCATAATCCATAAATCGCATAACATATTCACCAGTCACATAGACATAGACATATTCACCCATTTGCTTAAACTTAAAAAAATCCCTTCCTTTTATTTTGTTATTTTCATATTGTATTTCGTTATCCCAATATCAGGGAATTGCGTATTTCAGTTAAATCCACATCGAATTACATTTTTATATAGTCAACCAAATTTTTCGACTGAATCGCAGACGATCTAATATTAGTTCGAAAATACATACTTAGTCTTTTATCAACCCTATTTTTTTGAATCCTTAAATTTTACTTTTAATTTTAGTTTTTTTTCTAATATAGAAGCTCTTAAAATAAATGTATATATACTATTTGCATCTATACTGATGGCTTTAGTTTAAATGTTATCATTAACAGCTTAACCATATATAAATGTAAATGTTAGGCTGGATAAGCAGAAAAGTCGACATCTATATAGCATATACCGTAGAAAATAACCATTAAACGCTCTATATTACTTTTAAGTATTATAGTCTGTATTAATAATAAATACAAAGAAATACATATATATACTAGAACTGTTCTGTAACCTAGAAAGAAATGTTGATCTAAATTAAATTCAATTAGCGCTTGCAAAAAAAGCTACCGACTTTTTTTACAAAATGGGGAATTTATAATCTGAATCTGGAATAGGGCGAAAGAATAAAATGCAATTTTCTATATATACTATATATAAACATAATAATTATAATAAACAAAATTGCACAGAAGACTAAACATCCTTCTGGCAATGTGGCTTAAATTTCCAAATGGGAAATTTTCAGTATTTAAATCATGTCTTAACAGTTAACTTGCTAAGAAGGAGAAATAATCCAAACACCGTAGAGGAATAAATTTCCTTCCAAGAGAGCGGCACAAATATCCAAGTGGGAAATTCGCAGTACTTTTTTGCATTTAAATCATAACAGCCAAAATGCCAAATTGTGCTTGAAAGTTCGCAGAAGAATAAGTATCCTTGGCGAGGTGCTGCATAAATATGCAAATTAGAAAATAATAAGAGTGCACGCACTCTGCAGTACTTTTCAAGCGCTTCTATTGTATTTGCATAAATTAACAGCAGCTATGAAAAAAATTGGCCACCTTCTGCAGTGCTTCACAATTATGCAAAGTGGTAAATTATCTTTGATTGATGCACGCACTTTGCAGCACTACTGCGAAAGTTGTGCAGCACTTCTTTTGCATTTAAATATTTTTAGAGTAGTTAAAAAAAATACTCTTCCTCCAGTGTTTCATAATTATACAAGTGGCAAATCATTTACCAATTTAGGCACTGTACAACACTCCCGAAGCCTTTACTTTATTTCCAAAGTTTAACTGTGGACTATCTGAACCATGCAAAGGTGTCTTTATACTCTGAACTCGGACCGTTGCCTGTCCCCCAAGGCATTGTGCACGAAAATAGCCATTGCAAATTCATCGCCGACTCCGATTCGAAAACGTCTCCGACTGGTTCAGATAACGAATTTAAGCAATCCGTGCAGCGTACTGAATAAAGCAAATGTATTGCCGGTGCTCGAGTCAGTTAGCCTGTTCGATGGATGCTATGCGACAAACAAAATTCGGGCCGAGCATTGGAATACAATGAAATTACTCGAATATCTGCAGATAGCCAAAGACGTGTACCATCTTTCCGATTGCGATGCCCTGCAACTGCTGGGATTCTTTAAGAATAATTTCACTGAAGCCCGTCGTCATCTATGCTTCGATAACAGCCGATCCGTCATGCTTTTGGATTTTGATTCGCCCTGGCGATTAAACTCGAGATCCATAAGCGAACTGCCCTCCATGGAGCAGTTTACGAGCCACACGTTCTTCAAGAACTTCCACCAACTGTACATCGTCAACTCCAACGTATTGACCAACGTGCTGCCCCAGAAGTCCTTGGCCGAACGGTTCCCCGGACGCTATATACGCATACAACGTACCTTTTATCACGGAAATGTTATATGGGCGGCCTGCGTGCTACCCTCTAGGGATGCACCCATTGAGGTCGCTGCGCTGCTGTTGCCATCGATGAACAGTGTGGAATTGCAGCGCTGCACCCTTCTCATGGATGAATTGGAGCAGTATCTGGCCCCGCTCATCCTGGCCAGCAAATCGTGGACCGTACTTGAGCAAGAGTCCGAAAATGCCGACATCCTAATACAAGTACTAAACGATTTCACTGCCTCCATGCAAGGGTTTCTCGACGAGGAGCAGCTGGAGGATAAACTTCCTGCCCTGCTAAACACTTATGAAATTCTATACTGAGATGAAGAGATGTATGATAAGTTAAAAGTTGGGCTATTTCTTTCATTCTAAAACATTATTAATGTCATGTATTTTAAATACACCAAATAATTTTCTCAATATGTTTCAGATATAATAAATAAAAAAGTAATAAAAAGTTTAATGAAA